AAGCTTAGTCGTTCCCTAGATATAAGCCCTAATTTCAGTAACGTTTTCTAGTCATGAATTATACACTAATGAAATGAATGTAGGAATCAATAAACGACAGTTACTTTGTTGTTGCGCGGATTTTGATCAAACTTCATTGCATAGTTAGACGGGTTCTATAAAGAAACTTAAATGTAGCCAAATTTATTCTGCACTAGTATAACTTAACAATTTACTAGTTCTTAAGTTCTGAACGAAAAATGAAGGAAACCGTTGGTATTTGATCGTTAATGCTCATTCGGCGGGGAAAACAATGTTTTCATTGTAGCTTACAAAATATTAATATTGCCCTCATATGTGCAATTTGCCCATGATGTGTGGCATTTTGCCCAGTGACGCCGCGTTTTGTGCCATTGTGTCAAATAAAATGTACCATTTTGACCAAAAATATGTGCCATTTTTACCAGTGACAGGTGCAATTTTGCCACGTGATACGTGCTTTTTGCCATATAATATTAGCCAATTTTCTCCCTATGTGCCACTTTTGCCCTGATCTATTTTGCATACAATATCATTACTATATAACTTGAAATAAATGGAAGGATGAATTCAAATATACTAAAAATAAAGTACTATGATCATATTCTACAATATCAGTATCGATACAATCCCATTATAAAATCCAATAGACACTATTTATTAAACGTCTATATCGTTCCTTTCTATGCCGTCTGAAACGTTTTTATAGCTATATAGTTACCCATCTCCTACAATGTTCCCAGTGTTATATCATGTTTGTTTCTCTAAGATCATGCTTAAAATAATAATCTGCAACTAATGATAGGCACAACTAAAACAACACACAATTGACATGGTTTTGGCTTGGGGAAACTATTTCGCAAGTTGCTTTAGGTTCAAATGTTTTATTTCAGATTCCACTTGGAAGACATAATCATCCTCTCAATATAATGAAACAAATAAACATTTCATCAAACATCTGTTTTGGTTTGACTAACTGGATACCGTTTGAAACAATCCTTGCTATAACATTTGCAAAGTAAAGTGGTTCTTATGAAGAGACACTAAACTGTAGAATTGCTCTTAGCATATGAAAGACGAAATGGAATATTTAAGATGTTTTTGAGATGTAAGATTAACCTCTTGTTTCACTGTTTTATCGACATTATACCTGTGTTTATTTGCTGCTACATATAAGAGGGATATTTTAAAAGTAATGCAACTTTATTTATAACTGATTTGATAACTAAAAGATTTTAAACTTAAAAAGCCAAATTCACACCAAGCTTTCATTTTAACCGTCTTATCTATGACCTCAAGCAATGTAACAAGTGATAATTTGATATGGGTCTATTGTTTAAGTACGAGAGTATGGCTGATCCCAAAGCTTTTTTTTCATGTAAGGTGAGGTTTTTGTTGTTCTTTTTGTTTTTGTTTTGGCATGCACTTATATGACAGGATTTCAACTGTCCTAAACATCAACTTACTGTTAATATTGTGATATCTCTAGATTTGTTAATATATTGGATCATTAAGTCTTAGCATACATAATAATTTTTATGTCATAATTTCTTTCTGTTTGATTAGGTAGACAACTTGTACCAAACTTTGTAACTTAATGATACATGTTTGATTTATATAGTTTCTTAAATTGACTATGCCTTTTGATTGTATCATTGGCGTCCGCGCCGAAGCGCAACGCCCTTGCCCTTATGGAATAAAATCAGATTTTGTGAAAGGGCAATTGCAACTTCTCGAGCCTTTTCGTCGGCCATAATAGTCGAACATTCCGATTGGTATGAGTGTTTGATTATCAAAAATGAAATATCGCGATATGTAAAATGAATAGCGAACTGGATAATGTCGCAATGTAAACATATTCAAATGAAAGTATCCCATCCGTCAATTAATCGCGCTCTTCGGTATTTTTATTAATCATTTTGTAGTACACAGTGGGTTATTATGTGTGTTATTGCTTTACCTATAAATAGAATGATGACCTGAACATTGTGAAAGTCCGAAAATCTATTTATAGAAGAAGTTTTAGTTTACCGAAACGGTCATTCGTGTCGCAACGAACTGGAGAATTATGCAGGAAACGAAATGCAACATATTAAAACAATTAATTGCAATCTTTAAGTAGGCAATTTTTACAAATTGTTTTATCATAGTATTATCATTCTTCGTCGGCAATTTTAACATCAGTTGTTATGGGTTTATTGATAGGCATGTAAACACACTGATGGGTCAGACTAGGTCATTAAAATAGTAGATTGACCTCCCAAATAAATCAATTAACAGACTTTGTTCATTTTGACTATTATGTTGTATGTTTCAAAGAAAATACCACATGAAGTTTAAATTCTATCAAATAACCAATATTAATGATAATATCCAAAAATACTCAAATATAGTATAAATAAACTTATACCATATAGGGGGTATATTTTGGATATTATAGACTGTACATTTTGGATATTATCGTTAACATTGATAGAATTAAAGTTCCTGTGGAAAAAAAATTAATATTCAAATCTCTAGCATGCCTACCAAAGTTCATGTTAAACAATGTCTTTCGTCCGCCCATTCATATATAATATACAAAACTGGTTACTTTTCTTGTAAGATTGTATATTATACGTATGTGCCCTTCATATGTCGGGATATATTGAAATAATTTCTAAATGCATGTTTGTAGCCTATGCTAAATGAGAGTCTATCCACTCTTTCAGGCACTGAGAATACGGACCCCATAATTTTCAAAATTTTAACACAACATATTTGTTAAATTTGCAAGTCATAAAAAGTTACATGTAGCGAATTTCTTTGTTTTTAATGAACAGCCGTTATTTTTGGCACCCCGACGTGACTGACTTTTTTATTTACTTAATGCATTGAGTGTCCACCTCGCCAATATTTTGTTCAGTGTAAGATTATTAGTTTTCTTCAAAAGACAATGATTGTTTTGGGTAAACTCAAGTCATGGTTGTAGTTTTAGGCCCCTTGATATTCCTGTTAATGTATCTTTTCAAATGCTCACCCGATTTCAGCATTTAGCTTTTATGAAAATTCATTATTTTCCTATATCTCTCACAAAGTTTGATGTAAATAGATTATTTTGGACTTAAACCAAGCTTAGTCGTTCCCTAGATATAGGACCTAATTTCAGTAGCGTTTTCTAGCCATGAATTATACTCTAGTGACATGAATGTAGGAATCGATAAACGACACGGATTTTGATCAAACTTCATTGCATAGCTAGACGTTTGTTTTTAAAGAAACTTAAAGGAACATTATGCCTCAGAAACGAATAGATTTTTACTTATTTAGAAATGGAAAACATGAGTTATATAACATTTAAATGATGTTTTAAGCGCATGTTAGTTGATTGTAACCTCCAAAAAGTAGCACTAAATGTGAAATAATTTGTCACTAAAGTAGCTGAAGGGAAACAAAGAAAACTATAATTTTACTTACTGCAAAAAAGCGTCAGAAGAAAAAGATGGTTAAGGTTACTTTATAGAAACTGTAGAGTACACCGAAAAAAAAAAATAGCTGAGAAATAGAAATAAAACCATTTCTGGAGCATGATGGGCTTTTAAATATAGTCAAATTTATTCTGCACGAGAATGACTGCACATTTTACAAGTCATAATAATAACGTTGGTGTTTGTAAAGAGTTTTAATTTGGCTCGGCAAACAATGTTTTCATAGTAACTTACAGGAAGATATTTTGAGCCGCGTCACGACAAAACCAACATAGTGGGTTTGCGACCAGCATGGATCCAGACCAGCCTGCGCATCCGCGCAGTCTGATCAGGATCCATGCTGTTCGCTTACCAACTCTATTACAAGTGAAGAACTGACAGCGAACAACATGGATCCTGATCAGACTGCGCGGATGCGCAGGCTGGTCTGGATCCATGCTGGTCGCAAACCCACTATGTTGGTTTTGTCATCGCGCGGCTCATTTGTGGTATTCTAACTCTTACCACGCTTAATTTCTTGCATATCAGATTGGCGTTTCCGTTTGTTTTACTCATGCCGGAAATTTCATCTGGCATGGGGGGTTCCAGATGAGTCGCGTGCTGTACAATGGCACGATAAAGATGACGTCATTTTACCGTTATGAATGATTTTGCAATTCATACGCTGTTGAATGAAAGTAGTTACGGTTGTAATGATAAAAATTTTCATCGAAAATAAAGATAAAGAATTTAAAATATAATGGAATATGGTAGAATATGCAAGAAAAAACATCTGACATATGTTTGCGGTTCGGATCGGAATATCCGTCCCTCGGTCACCCGCCCATGGGCGGATCACCTCGGGACGGATATTCCGATCCGAACCGCAAAATATGACAGATATTATTAATCTTGGCCTGCTTTTCATCTAAACAAAACAATGTATCATTATTTTATACTAAATGCTAAATATAAAAAGAAATAAACATTAATTGTATTATAGACTAAGAAATGTATGTTTTTCGCGTTTACGATGCATCAATATGCAAGTTAGGTAACAAGTATTATATTAAGAATTTTTGAGTAAGTATTATGTCATTCCTCAAAAAATGTAGCCAGTGATCTTACAGCATTTGTACCACGTGATAATCCAATATATCAATTAAGCCTCGTTTTCATTTCCTGAGTCGTGCCTCGTAGAATATAGTTTAATATCGTACTCAACAATATAGAATAACTTCATATGATATTATAATTAGCACAATTACATCAATACAACATAAAACATAGCTTTTGAAATTATTACTATATTGGTACTAAACTGAAGAAATTCATGCATGGCCTTCTTGGCCAAAAATTATGTGAGGCATGATAATATAGTTCTAAACACACTGTTCAATATATCACAGTATTTTTATTAATGATCATGCTGTATAATATAGAAAACTTCCTCAAGAATAATAAGGCATTCCGGACAGCTACACATTCAAAGCATATAATTACATTCAAAGGTGGGATGCTATATGATTTATAGTCGCTCAGTAGACTATGTTTGTAGGAAAGTGGTTTTCGCTACAAATACTAATCGTTTTATTCTAACTGGCATTTAGATAGTCAGAGAGAAAGGAAAAGAATTTTATCTTATTCTAGAGCGAAGTTTGTGCCAAATAGTTTGCTACGTCTGAGGAAATATTTTTGATATTTACTGCTTTAGCTTACATAGCACCAGTAACGAGCGATCAATTGTGTGTATTCCTGGAAAGATCAACTGACAGATTGCTACGGTATTCTTGTATACTTGGTCTTTCAATTTGCGAGGAAACCAAACCTAGACGAAGCTAATTATTTCTTGATTCGGAACGTGTCGGATATTATTGTATTGCTTATTTTTTTAAAACTTCAAATTACTAGTGATTTTCAAAAGCTATATTGATAATTCGTGAATTATTTTCTGTTGTTTGTATTTTTTCTTAGACAATTTTGAAATATTTTTCATTTCCTATATATGTATACTATATTTATGAATATATGATGTCTTTAAAACGTATAGATCAATTTAAATAAATAAATAAATGAATAAATAAATAAATAAAAAACGACAACAACAAACATTGCAATAAATCTTCTCAAGAAATAAAGCAATATAGTAATATTATCATGTAAGGCTGTTATTTTCAGATTGAATCTATTTATAGAAGTGAAAACATTAAAATACGTTATATTAGCTACAGGAGTTTATACTGTTGACAGGACATGTGATAAACATGTATTATATGTCATTGTTTATCAGAACGCGAGCAAGAAGATATATCTAATACAAAACGTGGATTTTATTCAATATCATACATGATACAGGTGAGTAAAAATTGAATTTTAATTTCAAATATATGCTGTGAATCCACAATTTGCTTAATCCGCAAAACGTGCGCAATATCGTATATCGTCTGCTTATTTATTTGCATGTACACACGTGCACTATTTCCACTTAATATTGATTCTGTAAACAGGAAAAGGAATATTTTGTTGTTTTCAGAACATTAAATAATAAACGCCTAGTTTGTTGTCTATAATGCATCAGTACTTTATATGAAGTTATAAAGTACTGGCCAGTGCCAGTTCTTGCCAACTTACGCAGTACCAGTACCGGTAGAGTACTGCAGCACCGGTGCTTTTTTGGGGGAGTATCAGTGCATAATATGTTAACCTTTAATATAGCTACTATATTTTTCAACTTATTTCCTCATGAAGATTTTAAAGTTTAAGCATTCATAAAAAAATAATATAATGGAATTTAGTAATAGGTCAGTTTGCTCTCCGTGTTTACACTGTTATGAATACCAAAGTATATACTGTAGTACTAATACTACTTTTTTTAGACAGTTATACAGTACCAGTATCAGTATTGCGAAATGACAACTTCAGTACCAATGATGCATGACTGTTGGTGCTTCATATTTCATACATGTATTTGAATAATAGTTAATCAACCTATTAAGGTCCTTGACTTGAACCGCGTGGGTTCGAATCCTGCCCAAGATTTTTGAATTGGTATCATGCTATACGTTATGGAAAGCCCGGTGGTTCTATTGAGTGTTAACTGTGTCTGAAATAATGCACGGAGGGCCCACCTGAGGTCCCCAACCAGTTAAGCTAGAAAAGTCACCATATGATCATTACAGAGTCAATATGACTTAAAACTCAACCAAAAATGAAAATGTAAATTGTAGATAGCCGACATTTAAAAGTATATCTTCATTTGTAGATATCATGTTTCTGTTTGCAAGAATGATTGTTATTATCTGCGATGATCACGCGGAATTTTGTTCCACAGTAAGACAGCACATACGCTCGCTGTTTGCCAACAAAGCAGTAGTTACATACCTGACGCTATGTGATGCCTAATAAAATTCACATACAATCTAGCTAAATTCCCTTCCGTAATTCTTTAGTTTACCTCGAGGAAATATACTATAAGTATGTTAAGTGGATAACCATTGAGAAACAATGATGCTGTACTAATTAAATTATGTATTTTGTAGCAATGTTTGTACTGTAAACACTCGTATCTTTTGCACAGTAAGTGTAAAGAAGTTTTCATTTGTTCGTATCAATAGAATATAATGCATTAGAACTAAAGGCGTTTAAGGTTATTTCTACATTATTATGGTATTATTTGAATTTCGTCAAATATTCCATAGATCTTGTGGGTGATTTTGAGTACTTACTGTGAATAGTTTGTATACATTCATCCTATTTATTAAAACATATGAAATCAGTCCGCTTAGCCCATACGGGGTCAATACTCTCAGTGCCTGAAAGGGCGGATGAACCATCATCAAGCAAAGAACACACAATACGGAGAGCTTCCGATTTGTTACGCAGGAGTAGCTTTCAGCTTCCGGTCGGGCCGAAATTCCACTGTGACGATTGGTCTCGAATGAGTTTAATGATCATTTTTGTCTCACCGCTGTTTCAGAAATCATACGGGATAAGTTGTCAATTACTTGCGGAGAAACTGGTAATTACTGGTTAGTTATCCAGGGAAGTCGGTTAGTTGTAAGGTAGACCCAAAAATGTACAATCGCAACATCTCGGCTATTATCAATAATCCGAAGTTTGACTGAAAGAGCCGAGAAGATGCAATTGCAAAATTTGTTAAAATCCTCGTAAAACAAACAAACCTAACAAAAACATATTCATATTTAGATCAGAGCAAAACCGGCTGACTGCTTTTTTCTGATGATTTCATACACTGTGGTCATGATGTAATTGAATTATAGTCACACTTCATATAATAATACACATCCGCTCTTTTTTAACTCACAAATAAAACCCCCATTATTATTCTGAAAAGCAATGATACCACAATGTTTGTATTACTACATAAAATATAACGTATTAAAGTTTAAATAACATAATTATTTCTACAATAATGCATGTGAGTAAAGGGGGCAAAGATCATTTAACAACAAAACTTTATTTCTCCAAATATATTTAATTCAAATATTAAAAAATATCATGAGGGTCATGAATGTAGTTTAAGTATAACTTAATAATGAATCGTGTGTATAAATGTGTTGTTTATGTGTCGTAACTTACGGTATTTTCATTAATCAAGTCAATGTCAGACAAAAACATAGTACGGTACGGCGTGCGCTTAATGTACATTAAATTAATGAGCTCTATTAACGAAAGGTTACTGTTTAATTATGCTACTACAGTACTACAAAGTAAAAAATTAGACGTTAATAAGAAAATAATAAACGATATAAACAGCTAAAAGAAGGCACATATCTTAATAAGTTATCCGATACATAAACTGTTTTTGTTTATGTGTGTGCTTTTGTTTTGTGTTTTTTCTTTCAAAGAAAATTGTGATGTAAATTTAACTGTATATTTGTCGTTCAGAAAGTTTCACGTTCAAAGACTAAAAATTACGTACGTCGATAGGCATCAATACATAGATATGTGCGTTCACTTAAACTTTAAATAAGTCTGTTCTGATAATCATAACTTAATCTGATTAATAATAATGATAATAACCCGGCTTAGACAAGTAACTGTGTATTATAATCGCGGCATGTACCCCTATAATCAGCGCTTGATGATAATTCCAGTCTGTGTGATATATAATAACAGACCTTGTAGAAAAGATAACATCGTATGTATCTTTACCTTTTGCTTATTGCAAAATTCCGTTTTTGATTGAAATTGTTATTTCCAAGCATTAGCAATGTACAAGCTTTAGAAATTACTTCATTTCTTTCATCTTAAGACCTAGAAAAGGCAATCATGTGTCTTGTATTAAATAATCGATTTAGACCATGTAAGATGCTAGTATTGTATTGCTGAAAGTAAAATAAAACAAACTGGTCATAAAAGTAGCAAAATATAAACAAATACGTATATTGACTTCCATACTTGTACAAGATACTTAATAACGATAACTTTACTAATGGTAAGCAAGCAAACTAAGATTGAACATCTAATTCCGTGTAAGTTTCCATTCGTCACAGGGAACGTGCGAAAATGAGCAGCCATAATCAACAATTGCTAACAAGTTATAATTCACAAGTCATAATTCACATGTCAAAAGATCTAAGTCAAAAGTCTGTATCATAACCCAAAACGGCCCTTAAAGTTCCTCAAAGTTCAGAGTACCATTTTGTAAACTGTAACCGTACATTCTAACGAGGATAAGGTTATTTGAGAAATAAAACAAAAACTAATTTTTGGGCTAATGGGCCTTAAAAACTGTTACGGTTTTCACCATTTCCTAGATTTCAAATCTGTTATTATCATCAGAGCCTGGAATATGCATCAAGTATGATTCTCGGCATATACATGTACATACCATGTTGTTGTATATATATGTAACTATACATAAACAATCGCAAGATTGTACGTTTATACTAAAAAATTTCTTCACTATATTATTATAAAATGTAAGTACATTTGCGTACATGTTATGATTAATATTATCATCTTCTGGAAGTTCATAGAACTACAGTAATTTGTGTTGTTAACAACATACGAACAAAGGAAAACTATGGAATGCAACATAGGTAAAAAATAAACAATGCCTGCTTACTGTTACAGTTGATTTACTGACACGATTGTATAATACTAAAAGGCACAGTCACCGTGCATACAGGCTGCCACTTTCATAGTGCCTTTTTAACAATGATACCATGCCTGTCGGGAGTTAGATGTTGTGTGATGTTAAGGTTACGTTTCATAGAAAGTCCTTAGTCTAAAATCAGCCCTAAGGCAGGTCAAATATGTGAGACTTGTGTTTTTCAAACAAAACGTATGTCCGAACATATGACTCATATGCTATAACGCTGAATAGCAGATCATATATTGTGAGTGAAATCGCATGTTATTTTATTTCTTAACTTTTCCTCAGAAGAAAGAATTTAATCATGATCTTCAGTCTTTGACTGAAGGTAAAAATGTTTATTGCAACAGTCTTAAGTAGGGTAAGCCCTAAATTGATGTTTTAATTGAGAGAGAATAAGTCAATGTAACAAAGCAGCAGTCTGAATAAATATTTAAAACATTTTTTTTCTTGAGAAATATGTAAAATTAACTTTTGAAAATTTTCTATCGGTGAAAAAATTTATGTTTTGAAAAAAAAATGAACTCCGTACATAGACCTGTTCGACATTCAGTCTTGCCTGTAATTTAGTGAACTTTGATCTTTGAGCAGCTTCAAGATTCAGGACTTTCCCGAAATATTAGAACTGGTGCTTCAAGTTATCAAGAATTCAACAATGGCTCGAAATTAAACTGTTGAAAAATCAAAATTCCAGTATTTTAGCTACCCCGTCTCGAAATTTAACTTTTGAATTTTTTGAACATTAGAAATATGTAAAATTAAATTTTGAAAATTTTCCATCGGTAAGGAAATTTAAGTTGTGAAAAAATGAACTCCACGCTATTCAGTCTGTAATTCAGTTTTTCAAAATGCTTGAAATTCGAACTTGGAATAGACTCAAGAATCAGTCATTTCCAAAATATTAGAACTAGGGCTTCAAGTTATCAAGAAATTCAACAGTGGCTCGAAATTAAACTGTTGAAAAATCAAAACTCCAGTATTTTAGCTACCGTGGCTCGAAATTTAACTTTTAACAATTTAAAACATTCATTCTGTGAATATTTGGCGCGAAGCCTAATATAGGTTAACATCAGTACACCAATGTCAACGCATAATTAACGTGTTTGTTTTCTTTTTAGGACAAAAAAATACTGTAGTGATTTATAGCATATTCAACGACTTTTTCTTTAAGCAAAAGTTTATATCATCGGATATAAAAAGTTTCCGTTCAGTAGCATAATTGAGATTAGAAGAA